AGACCTCCTCCACTCTTTGGTGGAAATAACATACTTCTTCAGCCAGTGCTTCTGTGCCAAACTCTAGACTTCTATTCCTTGGTCCCCCTAATCTGTCTAATAAACCCTAGACTCCTATGTAATTAAAATCCCCCCACTACCCCAGTTCAGTCCCTTCTCCCACTGGGATTTCTGCTAAAGGGACACAAATCTGTTTCTCTCCTCTTTCATGCAAAAATCATCTCCATTTTGAAGATGGTAGGGAGAAGTAGGCAGGAAGGGACACACTCAGGTGGCAGATATATCCTGGTAAGGCTGCTGTGTGGTGAATTTTGTTCATATACATGGACTATGTGGGTTCACATAGATGTCCCTACTGGGGTATGAGGGACAGGCACAGCCCAGACCTGTAGGCTTCATTCCCGCTTCTCATTGTATGCACATCATGGAACCACCTAGACCTTTTTGACTGGGTTCCTTTACCTAAGAATACCCATATCTAGCTCTTATTATCACAATAAAATGACTGCATTTTATTGCAACATCTCTACTACTGCCATTTTCATTTCCTCATAAAAGGAAAAATCAATAGTAGTGACACTGGTTTCAAAATCTCTCAGGCACACAGGGTTGCATAGCTTATTATTAACCTTTGCAGTCTCCACCTCAAATTTCAGAAAACAGATTCACCTTTTTCTTTTTTCAAAACCTCATTTTTTTCCCAGGAATCACAGAGTTAAAGGTACTGTGGCCTCTAGGAGCTCATACTACTTGTTGCTGAACAGATGATTCAGAGATACAGGAATGTGTGGAAAACATTGGGGCAGGACTTGGGCTTCCAGTGACCAGAGAGTCGTATCATGCAAACATTCAGAATGTGCAGGAGCCTTCAGTAGGCAGAAATTGTTCTAAGGCCCTTGTACCAAGATACAGTGTCAGTGCAATGTCTGTGTGAACCTGCTTTTTCTGTCTGTGCTCAGCCCCTGTGGTCTGACTTCCTCCACAGTGAGCACAGGACTAGCTGAGATCCTCTCTCAATTCCTCATGCTCTTCACCAGGTTTGGAGGAAGAATTTGCCAGTAGGTATTAGGGGATCAATGAAGAGAACTGGAGAGGTGCCTGGACCAGCAGGACACAACATTGTCCTTCTCTTTCAACTCTGCATTGACCTTTGCTAGAAGACTGCCTTCTATACCTGGTGGAAATATCCCAGAGTTTTCAGATCTTCTATACTATGCTCAAGATATCCAGTCTCTAATCCCACTCAGAAATTCAATGCATCTAATAAAGAACTCCAGACTCTTAGGAAATTGGAGTCTTCCCCACCCCTTCCTTGGCTCACAACCTACTCCCACTGACACACCTACAGTAGGGACTAGAGTGAGCTCCCAGCCCTCATTTTAGCTATATTATAGGTTATAGTCCTATATTATAGGTTATAGGTGCCAGAGGGGAAGGAAACTACAAAAGGCAGGAAAAGACACACTCAGGTGGAATGATTGCAGTCTTTCTGATGGTTACTGTGTGGTAAATGCTCTTCATATAAAAGAGACAAGGGATTTTCACACAGTCTTCCCATTTGGACCCTGAGGGATAGAGATAGATCAAACCTAGATGCTGCTTAATCTCCTCCTGCCATTTTCTGAAAATTGTGGAGCAACCTGACTCTGTTTTGATTGAGTTCATCTTACTGAGGAAGACCCATGTCCAGATAAACATCTTCTTGCAGTGTGCTGCTAGTTGGCAGTTTTTTACTCAAAGGTGGAATCAAGGATGGCAAAGCCAATTTTAAAACCCCTTAGCCACATCAGTGTTTATAACTCATTATCCACATTTGCAATCTTTCCCCAAAGCTCAGAAAACAGACTCAGTCTCCACCTTGTTACTGTCACATAACTCCAGCCCTGTGGTCCCTTGCCTGACCATATACTTTCCTATTGATTCTACATTAGAATAAGGAGATGAAATCCACTGAGAAGTCAAAGGCCTGTCTAGGATCAGATGTCCATTCATTCCCCCATTGAGGACTCAGGCCTCTACCTTCTCATCCTTTCTGGTGACTCATTCAGTCTAGCACAGGTTCAAAAACCTCAGTGTCATTTGAACCTGATGATGGGGGAATTTCAGAGCCTGGTACCTAGTGCAGATTCCAAGCAATAGGGAAACTACTAATGTGCTGGGCTGAGCA